AATTACGCTGGAGAACAAATATCAATTATTTTGTCTATTGAACAAGATTTGACAGGACAATGTAATTTGTGTGCGCTGAGCACGAATTTTTACTCAGTTTTCCTTTAGCGGTCCGGGATTTTGCCTAACACCCCTGGTAGTTCGTGGTATTCATAAAAAAACTTTTTTTTTTCTTAATACTCGACAAGTCTTTTTGCAGTAACACAAGGTTTTTTATTTAAGTATTGTTATGGTGTTGTTGTATTATGTGTACTTTTCTATGTAACACTAAAAATATTTTCAAATTTGTCATTTTTAACCCATTTTAATATTGATAAATTAAACTAAAAATATCATAGAATTCTGGAATTCTCTCGAGCCTTTCCTGTTTTCTGTAGATTATTCTAGAGGGACAACTCAAGTATATAAAAGTGACTCGTTTCTGGAATTAATCAGCCACTTCAATCAGTCAGTTAATTAAAATTGGGTACTTAACATAATTTTAAATAGATAGATAGATAGATAGAAGACGATTCGTTGAACCCTTATGGCCATTGCAGACAAGTTAGATGATTATTTCTCTTCTCGCGCAAGTGGATGGCCAACGTTATGGCAAGATCTATCTATCCATTTATCTGTCTATCTAATCCCAATGACATTCCAAAATGAATTACTGAAGATATTATTGGATTGGTGCCTAATTATCAAGCGTTTTTTTAAGAATATTATGAAAAAAGGAAGCATAACGATGCAACAATAACATTTTTAAATGTCTATAATTATTGACACGCATTGTTAACGTAAAGCCTTTGATAATGTGTCACACTTTCGGATCCTTAAGGCTCTGTAAAAATTCTAAATTTCCATGGTGATATTTCCCTAAATATACCAGGTAATGTGAGAAAACTGCATTATACCTAAATCCCACCAAAGACATGGCCACTTTCAATCGTTTGAATATCCGATTATGAATCTTTCAAAAAGACTCGCGGTCACCTTTTCTGTTCTGTTTGTCCTTAATCCCACTTTTGCATGAACTAAACGATAATAATGAAGGATACAAAATATTCAAGAAAGTATTCAATCAATTATTTTACATGGATAATCCGAAACTTTTTACCAAAGAAGTCAATTAGATAAAGAGTGTTATGCCCGGGGTTACGTTGGGTCTACGATAGCCGGGACGCAACGAGAAAATTAAAAAAAAAAAAATAAACGAGAGTATCCCAGGGTTCAATGTAAGATTAATGAAATAAACGATGGGAGGGGAATTCTTCAATTCCGGACGGCGGTGAACGCAGTGAGAAGACGAACAATATGCAGACACAGAACAACAGACGACGATACGAGAGCATATAATAAAAATACTTTATTTATAAAATATACAGTGTATTAAATTAAAGAAAACAAAACTAAATAGTAAAAGGGATGAGGGACAATTGGTTGATCAAATATATATATCAATACGACAAAATACAGAAAAAAATTAGTGACAGCAGATTATAATATATATATATATATATATATATATATATATATATATATATATATATGAACATGTGGACACTTACAAATTGTAGGGATCGACGTCAATCAAGTGTTTTCAGATATAAAGTCCTAAAGAAAAGATGCCCATTCAATTCTCGGAGCGAAAAAGGTGGAGTTGCTAATGCCCTGATATAAATCCTTGATTACAGCCGTTCAATCCTTGCCGAGGGCGAATAGTATACGCAGATATAGCACAGGAGTATAGACGACTTGGGTTCGAGAATACCGTTCAGGATTCTTTCTTCGGTCATTCGATTCTTGGTGACGTCCGATTCCTCTGAAAGCAAACAGATAAGTTCAATTTTGGTGCCGTCCGATTCCTCTGAAAGCAAACAGCTAAATGAAGTTGTTATATCCCAACACGCGCGAAAAAAAACCGTTAGGGGTTAAGTCACGTGATGGCGTATGAAAGTAAGTAGGCGTTATCCATTGAACACTATTAGGGTCACTTGTACTTATCAGACATGCAGCGTTTGTCTGGCCTGCGATCAGAGACCAGGCAGGATGTGGGGGAAAGGAAGGTTCTCTTCCAAGGACTGACTTTAGTTTAACCTGGTACAACAAAAATATTCCATAATCTGCATATTCAAAGAAATAAAGAGACGACTGTTATATTCTCATATCTCGTCGCAAATAGGTAAGGTATTAAAAATATACTTGTAAAATCTAAGGTGGGGGTACAGTTATTGGTCTAACGTAACAAAGGTGTGTTCAATACAATGTTTCCGTGATGGCATCGGTATGGATTTTGTATGAGATAAATATCCAAAAGTAACATTCAAGAAAGGAAGAAATACAGAATCACAATCAATAGATCTTGCAATAACTTTGGTAATCCACTTGCGCGAAGAGAGAAATAATAATCTAACTTGCCTGCGATGGCCATAATGGTTCAATGAATCGACGTGTTCCTATCTATCTACCTATCTATCTATCTATCTATCTATCTATCTATCTATCTATCTATCTCATTGTGTTCCCATCGATCTATCTATCTATCTATCTATCTATCGATCGATCGATCGATCGATCGATCGATCGATCTATCTCACTGTGTTCCTATCTATCTATCTATCTATCTATCTATCTATCTATCTATTTCACTGTGTTCCTATCTATCTATCTATCTATCTATCTATCTATCTATCTATCTATCTATCTATCTGTGTTCCTATCTATCTGTCTATCTATCTATCGATCGATCGATCTATCTATCTCACTGTGTTCCTATCTATCTATCTATCTATCTATCTATCTATCTATCTATCTATCTATCTATATGTCTGTCTGTCTATCTCAATGTGTTCCTATCTATCTATCTATCTATCTATCTATCTATCTATCTATCTATCTATCTATCTATCTGTTTCCTATCTATCTGTCTATTCATCTATCGATCGATCGATCTATCTATCTCACTGTGTTCCTATCTATCTATCTATCTATCTATCTATCTATCTATATGTCTGTCTGTCTATCTCAATGTGTTCCTATCTATCTATCTATCTATCTATCTATCTATCTATCTATCTCATTGTGTTCCCATCGATCTATCTATCTATCTATCTATCTATCGATCGATCGATCGATCTATCTATCTCACTGTGTTCCTATCTATCTATCTATCTATCTATCTATCTATCTATCTCACTGTGTTCTTATCTATCTATCTATCTATCTATCTATCTATCTATCTATTTCACTGTGTTCCTATCTATCTATCTATCTATCTATCTATCTATCTATCTATCTATCTATCTATCTGTGTTCCTTCTATCTGTCTATCTATCTATCGATCGATCGATCTATCTATCTCACTTTGTTCCTATCTATCTATCTATCTATCTATCTATCTATCTATCTATCTATCTATCTATCTCATTGTGTTCCTATCTATCTATCTATCTATCTATCTATCTAATCCCAATGACATTCCAGAATGGATCACTGAAGATAATTTTGAGTTGGTGCATAATTATCAGGCGTTTATTAACAATATTATGAAAAGACAAACATAAGGATTCAACAACAACATTTTTAAATGAGTATGACTATTGTCACGCATTTTGAAAATAAAATAAAATAATATTCGTTTTAAAAAAAGTAAACAAGAGAGCAATTTCATTAACAAACAACTCGCCTACAAAAACACCTGATGATTATCCACCAACCCAATACATATGCCAAAAATAGGTGAAATAGAAGATCCGAAAAAATGTAGATCAATAACGTCTGTCCAACACATATTAATTAATCATGTACGCACTCAATGACTGTTTTCCCGATGAAAACAACATTCTTCCCCTGAAACAGATGGGATGTCGAATAAGTTAAGAGTGTTGCAAAGAGCAGCTATTGATAAAAGAGATGCCTCTGGAAAATTGCAGGAAAGTAGTAGAAACCTCAGCCAGTTTGGACAGATAATCGTAAAGTCTTTGATAATTTACCAAACTCCTCGATCGTTAAGGCTTTGATAATTTACCTCACTCTTGGATCCTTAAGGCTATGGAAATATAAAGAGTTCCTAGGTGACAGTATATTTCCCTAAATACACCATGGGACTGTGAGACA